GCGCAGGTGACACTCACGCCCCGGGGTGAAGCCAAGTGCAGATTTGGGACCAGTGTCCAAGGGACATGAAGCCCGAGCAAACCAGCCTGCTAAAAACTAAGCCCATCTGCTTTCTACGACAGCTCCCCCTTCTCTGGTCAGCTCACAGTTCCAGGAAGGAAATGGAGAGACAGTGGACAATGGCTGGGAAACACCGTTTGCATGAAGAGGAACACTTTGTTTCTCCTGGGAGGTGCTGAGGCTGGGCCTGTGCGGTGGGGGTTTCATGGCTGTTGATCGCACAGTGCTGGTGCTGTGCAAGTGTCCCAGGCCTGGGTGATGAGGTCAGGGTGACCCTCAGGCATCTGAGGCCAGAGCCCAGGCCCTGTGCCAGCCTTGTGACGTGGGGCTCCACTCCACGCCTGGCCACCCAGCAAGGCTCCTTGGCTCCGGTTAGAAGGTGAGCACCTGCGAGGTGCTGAGGTCGCACAGAGAAGGGACAGGTGTTCAGGTCAGGGGAAGTCCCGAGGGGACAGCACTGAGCTGGTCTTGAGGGAGAAGCGTGATTTCCACGTGTGTAGACCGGCTGGGGTTGGCGGGGTGGGGAGTCCTGGTGGAGGAGAGGGCCATGTGTACTCGTGCTGTCCACAGAGCCGGGCTGATGGAGCAGGGGATCTAGAAGCCAGACAGATGTCAGGTGGTCTAGGTTTGGATGCCAGGCTTCAAGCCAGGTGCCAGGCTCCACACTAGATGCTGCACACACACCGTCCTCCATCCTCGGTAACTGTCCTTGCTCACCTGTAAGGAAGGGCACTCTGCTTGCCCTAAGTCCTGAACTACTCAGAAGAAATGGGGCTCCTCTTCCCCCAGGTTCTTGCTCTTTCTCCCGTGACACGGCATTCACGCAGGTGGAACTGGGCTTTGTTGATGTGACTGAACCAAATCCGTGACAGAGCCACCTCTTCAGGGGAGCGCTCCATTGGCCACACTGTCCCAGCCACAGCTTCAGACATACGGCACCAAGTGGCCTTCCGTCAAGTCTAGCTTCCTGTACTCAGCAAGGGTGGGAGGGCGAGCCAGCCAGCGGAAGGCAAGCTTTCTCATTCGCGTGATCACCTGTGATTTCCCAGCGGAGAAGCTGAAGACGCCCCGGGTTCTTCTTCTGACACTTAAGTATAGACCGGGTCGTTCCGGGCCACGAGACCAGCTTGGTGCCACAAAACCCTTTGCAGTTAAAACCACACGAGTGCTGCTCCAGATCCCAGAGGCCAGCAGTGCATTTTTTTTTTAATCAAATGATTTTCTTAAGCATCTTGGAAGAGGATTTTTATTTATTTTCTAACGAGTTTAGCAATCAGAGCACAAATCAGATTTTATTGATCACTGCGATGTGTGTAAGAGCAATCATTTTCCTTCAGACAACAGGTTTGTCCTTGAAACAGCGACTGTGAGATGATGGTGGGAATTACAACCTTGAGTGAAGACAGAGAAAGGCAATTTCTGGAATGACACACAGGAATTAAATCTAGTTGCATCCAAAGGGAAGCGTCTCCAGCGAGACAGTGAACGTGTGACAGTGATTTCTGAGAAGCAACTGTGACAGCATGGTGTCAATAGAGAGTGCTGAGGGTCCAGCTGGCGTGGTTCGTACCAGCAGGTTTGACCTCCAGGTCTACACTCGCTGTGCCACCTTCCCTCCTGCCATGGATCTGGATGCTGGTGTGAGTGTCCTCACCGTAGGGGAGCAGCCTTCCTGGGGTCCCTGCCTGCTCGGTCACTCACACGCTTTCTACCCAGTGGTCCTCTCTCCCGTGTGTGTCCATGGCCTCCGGCTCACTGCAGCAAGGCCCCAGGGTCTCTGAGGACACTGCTCAGCCCCCTCCCCACCCTCTCAAAAGGTTTGTGAGTCCACACTGGCTGCAGGGACTCCAGGAACTCCAGTGCAAGCTGGAACTGAGCACCCACAGAGCCCTGCGAGGCCACTGCCCTTGGACAGCTGTGGTTTGCAGTCGAGTGCAAAGGACTTTCTCCTCTTAGGCCCGGATCAGGAAATGGTGACCCTTGTGGCTCCTGTGTCACCTCAAGCCTGCACAACTGGCCTCAGGAAGCCACAGTCTGCTTTCCCAGAATCACAGTGGTCACGATGGGGGAAAGGACTGACCGGGTGAGCTGAGAGCAGGGTCCACCTCTCATCCTGCAGCAGTGAGGGAAAGAGGGCTGCTCGCCATAAATGTGGCTCTTGCAGCCTGTGACCCTGCGTGACAGAGACATTTCCTACAGGTGAATCCTTAGGCTCAGGCGCCTACACACCACCACCTTCTCCCCACGCTAGCTCACAGCCACCATTCCTCTGTCCGGGATGCTTTTCCCCCGCAAGGGAAAAAACCAGGGCAATGGTGAGTAACTCATGCGCTCATTTCAAAGGTCTCAAGAACTTGGAGTCCCCTAGCGTCACATCTGAAGTTTCTGACACTCTTGCTAGGGTGGCTTCTGGACAAAATGGATTCTTTCCACACTCCAGGGTGCTAGCACAGTCTGTCCGGCCTCTCAAATTGAGGCCCCGAGTTCTCACGTGCCGTGTCGCTGAAGTACCTCACTCTCGCTCCAAAAGGAGGCCCTTGGCCACCTTGGGTCACTTCCACCCGCGTGGGGCTGGTGGAGTGGAGCCTGCCTCCCCTGCCCCTCTCACAGGAAGCTGAAGACAGGCTTCTTTCTGTCTGTCTTTTCTGGCATCAGGGCTGCGATGGCTGGGCTCCCGCAAGTAACTGGTTATCAGGGTGACAGCAGCTTCCAGATGAGGGTGAGGGATGCTGAAGGAACGAGTTAGTGAAGGCTGCTGAGACAGGAATAACAGGTGTCTGCACAGAGCCCCGGCCACATGTCAGAGGATGACAGGGATCAGCAGGCCATGCTCGCAAATGAAAATCGTCCCCAGAGTCTCCTGCCAAGCCATCCCCTAGGACAAGCTCTGGCTCAGCTCCCAGCCCATGATTCATGGCCATTCTCCTCTCTGGGGACAGCCACACCTTGGGGCTGGCCTCTGATGCCGGCACTGGTTGGAGTCCCCAGAGCAGGTGGCTGGGGCTTCTCATGGGTGGCCTCTGCACCGCTGTCCTCTCCGGCTCCCCTCCAGGCCCTCATAGGACGCCCACTTGCGTCTTCACTTAGGCTCAGCCCTCTACCAACCCCTGGTAGAAGTCTGGGGCGGGGTCCAGGCCTGGCCGATGGGCAGGTGACATGCCGGGGCTGGAGCTAGGGACCCCTCACCTCCCTCAAGGTCCAGAAGTAGAGAAAGCTGGGGAGGGAAGTCCCAGCTGGAATCCTCAGGCCTAGAGAGCCCCTAAGGAAGGGGAAATGGAGTGGTGGTCAATTCTAGAGGCAAGGAAGTAGGCGGGGCCCAGGACCCAGAGCTGGTGACAAGCCAGGATGCAGACAGAGTGGAGGCAAAATTGAGGCACGTCTTGATGTCAGGTCACCAGTGCTGGGCACTGGGCCGGTGCCATTCCACGCCATCTACTGGCCACCTGGCTGGCCCTGAGGCCCTCTGGTCCACCCCTGCTGGCCAGGACAACTGGTGCTATTGGCAAAGCCAGGTTCTCAACTGCCCCCCTTCTGTTTCATGTCAGGCCACCAAAATCAGGCCTGAGTGTGAGTGCTGGGGCTCATCCTGCACACACACTGGTTCTCGGGACTGTTCTCGCTTCCTCTCACTCGCTCCCCTGTTCATCCAGTCTCCACGTGGAGACACTCATGACTAGGAAACTCTCCGGTGTTGCACGGATCGACAGAGCGCCTTCTCTGAGTCCGTCCTCACGTGAAGCCATCCCAGCCTCAGCTAAAGACCTGGCATACGCGGGCTGTATAATTAATTTCTTTTCTTTTTTTTGAGACACTGCTGGGTCACCAGCATGGCCGGCTCCCAACGAATGCTATTGAGGGCTGATCAGCGATCGAGAAGTACCGGAGGTTTACTTGCTTTTCTCAGACCTCTTGGGAATTGGTAATAGGGGATTTATTTTCTTTTTTAATTGGAAGACATATTTATCAGTCAGTAGCAAAGCAGGGACAGGAAACAACTCAGTATTGGAGCAGGGATGGCTTTTTTTAATTGTTAATCGTAGACGGGAGCACAGAGGACAGGTGGAGAGAGCCCGGGAATTTGCAGTCCTGCTGGCGTACCCGGCCCCATGTCCTGCTTGGTATATTCACTTGAGCAGAGGTGAAGTGAATGGGAGCCATGGTGGCTATTGTAGGTGTGACGTGCCACCCCCAGGGAAGAGGGGATGGGACGTGAGGATGAGTGGCAGCCTCCTGGGACCCTGCCACATAGACGAGGCCTGTTTTGTACACGGGAGAGGGAGTCCCTTATGGGTGGGTGACACCGCCTGTTTGCTCTCCCGTGGCTGCTGTGCTGTGAGGGGTGGAGAAATCAGGACCCCCATTAAGCCCGGCCTCAGCACAGACAGCAGCATGGAGCCCATCCGCCCAGCTGTGCCTCTCCCCTCCAGAGCACAGTGACAAGGCCGGTCACTCTGAGATGATGAATGGGTCCCTGGACACGAACGCTTACTTACAGAGGCTCTGCAGAAGGTCCTGGGCTCCCAAGGGAGCACTTCAAGCCTGGGCCTGGATGCACAAGGCCAGCGGAGGGACCCAGAGCCTTCCTGGTACCTTGGGAGCCCTGGGATCGGTTTCCTGCCCTCAAACCTGGCCCTGGCACATGAGTTGAAGACAGAAAGGGTCCCGGACTCCAGGCCCTCAGTGGACAGGCGAGGTGACCCACGGGGAGGGTGGCTTCCTTCTGCTCAGCCCAAGGCTCTGTCTCATCCACAAGCCACTGACCGACTGTCAGGGCACACAGGTGCCGGACATGTGCCACCCTGGGAGCCACCCTTGTCCCCACCGCCTGGCCATGGAGGACACAGCTGGGGGCGGGGAAGGAGGGGGACAGAGGGCAGGGACCTCGGCGGACCCCGGCCCAGTTTGGCTGTCTCTAATGGCGTTCCTGCCTTTCCCCACAGGGCCTGTGCCAGCAGCGAGACGGAGAGCGAGGCGGGGGACATCATGGACCAGCAGTTTGAAGAGATGAACAACAAGCTCAACTCCGTGACTGACCCCACGGGCTTCCTGCGGATGGTGCGCCGCAACAACCTCTTCAACAGGTGTGGGGGGCGGGGCTAAGGTGGGGCGGGGCGGGGCTAAGGTGGGGCGGGGCTCCCAGCTGTGGGCAGCGCATAGGGGTGGGCGGAGCTCTGGAGTGGGGCTGGGCTCCCAGCTGGAGGGGGCTCTGGAGTAGGGCGGGGCTCGTGTGGGCGGGGCTAAGGAGGGGTGGGACTCAAGGGGTGAGAGGGCTCTGGACTGGGGCGTGGCTCGGGGTGGGCGTGGCTTTGTGGGTGAGGCGCGGCTCGGGGTGGGCGTGGCTAACGAGGGGTGGGGCTCCTGCTGCAGGGCGGGGCCTGGGTCCAGCGCAGATTGTTGCCAGGTGCCCTCTGCAGCAGCTGCAGAAGGGAGCGTGATGCTCCAGTGGCCCCCCTCGCTCACCAGGGCCTCTGCTTCACAGCAGGACAGGTCAGTGTGGTGACCCTCGTGTGGCTCGGGTGGGAGACCCAGGAGAGGTCGCTGCTTACTCTCCCGGCCCCCCAGCCGACTTCCTGAGGCCACGCCGGCTTCTGCAGGCGAAATCTGGGGCGGAGCCCGCGCTGACTCCTGTCCTGGACTCAGGGTCCAGCGTGGACAGGAAGGATGGGGACAGCATGTCCCGTGGGCTCTGCGAACACAGCTTTCCTCAGTATGAGGCTGGAGCAGTGGAGAAATCTGGGACCCTGACACCCAGCAGACCTGGATTTGAAACCTGGCTCTACCTCAGACCTTTTGGTTTCTGTAATCTGGAAAATCGGGGTGGTGGTGGCTGCTGATTGCATGGTGTCGGGCCCCAGGATCGTAATGAGGAAACATGGCACCTGCAGTGCGCCGAGCCCTCCCTCTCTCCGGCCGGCCCCAAGGTGGGGGGCGGGGGCAGGGCAGCCGCTCACGGTTCCAGAAGATGGCTGTCTACCCAAAGCCGGACTTCTTCCCTTACCACCTCTCTCCCGCCACCAGGTAGCAACAGACCTCACTCTGCAGCCCTGGCCCAGCCCCGACCTCTCGCACTTTCTGGCTTGCATCCCACCTTGCTCTCTGTTGGCGGCCCCTGGCCCGACAGGACAGGACCAGCCCTGCCTGTGTCACCTCCCTGTATCTATTCTGGGCAGGAGCCTTCCTTCCCATCAGCAGCAACTGTTGGATCCAATGACCTGACCCCAGCAGTGGCCCCTGTCCTGTAGCAGCCCCCAGGCCTCCCCACCGTCCTGAGGGGGCTCCCACCACCCGACTCTGCCTCAGTTCCTCCTCTCCAGGCAGATCAGATGCAAGCAGGGTACAGGTGGAACTTAGGAAATAGCTCTCTGAAGTCGCTTTAAAAAAGCAGGTCCATGGAGTGGTGACAAGTTTATTGAAAACACAAAAGCAGTCCCTACCGGTTGCCCTCTGTAGCAAGCTTGCCAGTATTTCTTAAGGCATCATTTAATGTGCGACACAATTTTCTTTACCATGTTTTTGGATACTTTCTTGTTCCAGAAATGACTTTACTAGGATTGAACTCAGGGCGTGAACTTTGCCGGGCGCTTGCTTTACAACCTGAGTCACATCCCCAGCCCTTTTTGCCTTTTGGTTTACTTATTGTTTGGATAGGGTCTTGATTTATGCCAGGCCAGCCTGGGCCGTGATCCTCCTGTTTATACTTCCCGAATAGCTGGGATGACAGGCGCCCACCGCCACCACACCCAGCTTTTTATTGGTTGAGATGGGGTCTCACTAACTTTTTGGTCCAGCTATCCTCAATCCACATTCATCCTGATCTCTGCCTCTTCAGTGGTTAAGATTACAGGTGTGAGCTACGGCCCCTGGCTATGGCCAAAGCTGATGTGAGAGTTTACCCAAGCATACAGATGTCACAAGATGACGTCAGTGATAGATACACAAGGCGGAGTTTGTGCACAGTGCTCATTGCTATGCCACATGGACTGAGCTGCCTGCAGAGGGAGGGGACAGGGTGACTCCTCCCCGATGTCCTGGCCACCTAGACCTTCCAGACCCCAGTCTGAGGATAACGGCACCCAGAGAAGGCCCTGACCTAAGGCTGCAGCTAGGCTCCCAGCATGGTTTCTAAGGGACCCGAGTGCCAGCCCCAGGCCTGTGGCTCTCCGAACGCCACACCACGATCCCACCCCAAACACATCCACTGCTTGACTTGCCAGCTGTACCCTGCAGTTTCTGGTCCCCCCTCCGTCTGTCCCCACTGCCTCCCCTGTTCCGTCAGGACTCACTGTTTGCAGAAGTTAAGGTGCCTGGCACTCAGCCGGCCTCTCAGCTCACAGGCAGCAGATGTGGGGTTTGCCCCCTGCTGGGGATGACTCCATCCTCTCCCGCTCTGAGCGCAGTGGGGGCTCTCAGTGGAGACCCTCACTGTCCCTCCCAGCCATCCTCCACTGCCCGTCCATTCTCCCTGTCCTCTCTGCCCTAACCCAAAGGAGTCCTGGACCTGCCGTTCCCTACCTCAGGGCCTTTATCTGGGCACCTGGACATGGCCAAAGAGGGCTTTTCCCTGAGGGGCCATTTCAAACAGCACCTGTCACAGGGCCATCCCAGTCACCCTGCCTAGGAGCAGTTTCTCTTCTCTGAAGTTCCCCAGCAACTCTTTCCCTGCCCTTGGCTTGTCCTGTGGGTCCATGTCTCTCACCTCTGGCTTGCGTCTGATTTCTCTGTGCCGCCCCAAGGTGCGGGCAGTAGGCACTGGCTTGCCAACAATGGAGAAGAGCAAGGAGAGACAGAGGGACAGAAGGAAAAAGAATATAAGGAAGGATGGAGAGAGGGGCAGGCAGCAGTGAGCCCTGTGGGTGGAGGTGTGTGCCATACCTAGGCAGTGACCCCAAGGTGTCCAGGAAAAGCCACTAAGAAGGAGAGAAGTGTACGCCGCTTTCCTGGGCTCAGCGGGAGAGCAGGGCACTGCCTGAGCTGGCGCAGCCCAAGGCGGGAGCAGGCAGCACGACAGTTCCTGTCTCCCAGAGAAGGAGCCTTCCGTGAGGTTCCTGGAAGTCACCACTGGATGGTATCACAGTCCTTTTTTTTAATCTCATGGAGGCATCTCGAATTTAATGGGTTTCCCTGCTAATTCTTCCACCAGTGCCATAAAACCCAGCTTCAACCTCAGGCTGCTCCCATCCCTCAGGAGACAGTGGTTCGGAGTCCAGAGGGTGGTGGAGCATCCAGTCTGTCAGGGCTGAAGGGACAGAGGAAGGAACCAAATGGTTCTCCAGGCAGTGGGGTCCCAGGACAGCAGGAGCTGCACCTACAATTCACTGTCTGCCCCTGGCTGTCCCCCGGGTGTCCCCGGTGAGGCCCACACGTGGCCACTGCAGCTACAGACCCAGGGGAGAGAAAGTGCCTGACCTACAGACATCCTGGGAAGGGGAGCGGGCTGAGCAGGAAAGAAGCCGCCACCCCCGACCCTCACCAGGGGGGACAACATGGCTCTGTCCTCCCGCCCTGCTCACCCCGACCTGGGCTGCTGTCCCTTAGAACTGGTGTCCTCACGGGGTCTGTGGTCCTGGGGATGAGGGTGTGCCCCATGTCACACAGCCTGGCCTTAGGCCCCCTGAGAACTGACCCCACTGCAGGCCTCCTGCTGCGTGGCAGCCTCCATCCCTGGAGGCCTGGCTGGCTCAGGAGGCTATGTGGTGTCCGCAGCCCACACTGGCCCTAGAAGGTGCCCCCATATTGGTCACTTGCTTTCTCTCTGGCCCTTCTGGGTGTAGTAAAGGTGATGTGACCTGGGGCCAGCGTGTCTGGCCCTGTGCCTGGCCAGCCAGACGGAGCAGAGCCTGGTCACCTATACCAGGCGGGACATTGAGCAGCAGGAGGTCAGGGGAACGGGGAAGATGTGCATGGAGACCTGTGCTCTGCAGCCTGCATAGCAGCTGTGGGACATGGGGACACAGGCACAGTGCTTGGTCCCTGTGAGACAGGAGCTCAGCAGGGCAGAGACAAGTGTCCCCAACTCTCCAGGGCTGGCGCTGCGCGACCCTGTCACCTCTCCTCGGTGCCGAGGGGCACAGAGCCCAGGCAAAGCCACTTCTCCCTCCGTCAGATGCCCTCGTGTGTTCTAGAAGTGGCTTCCTTCCCAGCTCCCCATGCTTTGTTGGGGTTCCCTTGACCCTCCAGGACAGGGAGTCCAGGGCCCTCCATCCTGCCATCCCTGCGGTCCTCGACCCGAGGGACAATCGAGTCCTGTCCCACCTGCCGTCCCTGGGTTCACACCCGGAAGCCACGCTGTGTCCACGGTGGGGGCTTCTGCCGTGGAGCCTCCCTGGAGAGCAGGGCAGCGGGAGAGGGGTGCCAAGGCCACTGGCTCTCAGGGAGGGGCCGACCCACCCCGCCACTCAGACACGGGGCTCAGCTCCCTTCAGCTGTCCATCATTGGTCGCGAAGGGTGAGCAACACGTGCCAGTGTGGGCACTGCGACTGCACCACCGTCACCTCTGTAACCAGGCCGGAGGGGACGCCAGGGCGCAACGCCCACAGCAGGCACGTGTGCGGTCCCCCAGCCTCCCCAGGCACAGGTCTTTCTTCATCCCGATGGGAGACTTGGGGGCAGTCAGACAATCGCACCCCGATGCGTCTCGCCCTGTCCACTACGGCTTCCACACCTCACCCCTGCTCTGCGCTGTGCGTGACACAGACCCTTCCTCTGTCCCAGTGCCACACAGACTCTGTGCTGTGCAGTGAATGGGCATTTCTCACAAGTGCATGGATAAACAGCGTGTGAGGATGGAGGACTGGAGAAGGTTCTCCACCCAGGGCTGTGTCACTTAGCCCGAGTAGAGCCAGCAGGAAAGGGACAGTCAGAGAACAGCGAACCAGCACCACCTGCTGGAGCCCCCGGGCAAAGCAGCTGCCAGGCCTGCCACCCTGGCTACAGTGCTGACCCACTGGGAAAAGCCTCCACTGTGGCCTCGTGTGGGTCTCTTGCCCGCTCTGAATCTCGGTCCCTCACCTGTGGAGGAGGGACACTGTGAGGGCAGGGCCACTGTGGCCGGTGACCTGCTGTGGCAGATGAGGGTGACCTTGCCACAGGAGGGGAGTCCCCCTCTGAGACTCTGCTCTAACAGCAGGGAGCACCTGTCCTTTCATCTCCGAGTCAGAGCCAAGGTCAGGAGCAGCTGCCCAGGCTGTCAGCACCTGCTGACATCAGAGCCTTGATGGCCGCCCTGGGATCCTGCCCATCTCGTGGCCACAGAGGCAGAGCCTTCGTGATAGTTCTGGAAGGAGGACATCAGGGTGCAAAGTCTTCTCACACCCTGCTCCAAACAGGCAGGGGAGGGGACCCGCTGCCACCCAGCTGCAATCCAAGGCCCTCCACTGAGCCTCCCCACAGAGTCTGTGTCAACAGAGACATCTCTCCTGGGCAGGCGGTGGCCTCCTGACCGCCCCACTTCCCTGGTCCCACGTGGTGCACTCAGGGGAGGCTCAGCAGAGGGCTGCGGGCTGCCTGGGTGGACCAGGGTGTCCTTTCTGAGACCAGAGGACACCTATGGTTACCTTAGCTCCCCCCTCACTTCACCAGCAAGGGAGAGATGGAGGAGAGGGCAGCCTTGCCAGTCTCACAGGTCATGGGTGGCACGAGTGCCTGAGGTGAGCCCCTGGGAACGTTCAGGCTCGGGGCTGGGGTGACCCCTGCTGCTCTGTTGCCACAGAGGCTACATGCCAGGCATCAAGCCGTGCCCAAGGCAGCACCCCACCTGCTGATGCCATAGGCCCCCGTGTGGCCAGGGAAAGGCTGTGTCCTGGTCACCTCCTGCTGCAGCCCCAGCCCGAGGCCCTGCCCACACCTGCCACCGCGGAGGGCGCCCAGGGGCTGTTCGTTGCTTTTGGTCTCGGTTTCCTGCTTTGCTCCCCGTTCTGTGCTCCCGGGCTGGGACTCTCGAGACAGCTTTCCAGTGGGACATTATCACCACTGCCAGACAGAGCCAGGTGCCAGCGCAACCAGTGTGGAGGAAGGGAGGCCTGGAGGCAGGAGTCCCCAGCCCCTCTGGGCCACACGCAGGTGGGAAGGCCACCGCCCCGGGTCACCAGCAGACACCTGCTCAGGGAGGAAGTCCAAAGTGGATTTTCTTTGACCGCAAGTTATGGTCACAACCACCAACTCGTTTCTGGCCTCTTTACTTTGGAAAGGGCATCTGTAGGGCTGTGTGTCCCCCACCGAAGAGCAGTGCTGGTCACAGGGTCACAGGGGTGTCTCTGGGGGCCAGTCTGGGTGGGCCACCCCAGAACCTGTCCAGCGATGGATGGTCTCTGAGCTGCCAGGCCACGATGGCCCAGGTTGGGCAGCTGAAAACCAGTGCTCTGTGTGGCACCTGAGGGCGGAGGTCAGCCATGTGTACGAGGTCACGGTGAACTTACTGACCTAGAGAGAGCAAAACAAGGCCAAGTGGTGGGCTTGGACACAGGGCCCCCGTGGGTGAACTGGGTGTAGCCACCCCTCCAAGGACTGTTCACGCACCCAGAGCCTGGAGACTGTAGGTCCCTCTCTGGCCACCAACAGCTGCCTGTTTCCCAACCTGGCCACAGCCATGGGACTGGCTGCCCAAGTGAAGGTGGCCTGCCGAGGGTGTGTGTGGCCTGACGGTGGCTGTTGTGCCCGTCCTCCCTGGGATGTCCTTGTGTGGAATGACACCTTCACCTTGTCCACGTGGTGGGCTGGCTCCTGTGGCCCAGCTCCTGTGGCCCAAACCAAATGCTACTGTCCCAGGAAGCCGCCCTCAGCTGGGTAGGCCCTACAGCAGAGGGACCTGAGACCCTGCCCCCCTGAACCGGCCACACAGTGGGCAGCCATGGGGGAGGGCCGGGCGAGTGCCACTGGGTCCCTTGTGGTATCACTGGCCCTGGGGCCCCAGCCTGGTCCCTGCTCCCTCCGCCCCTTCACTGGGACCCCAGCTTTCCTGGTCTGCGTGCTTTGCAGTTCAACCTCCCCCGGCCTCACTCCCTGCCTGGGGCTCGATTTCTGCAGGGCAGAGCAGGAGGCCTAGGTAGGGGACAGTGACTTACCCAAGGCTGGGGCTGGAGCTGGGCAGGTCACACACACGGTTTCCTCTCTGACCTGGTGGCTGGTGTCCCCCTTCCCTGCGCTTCCTGTCAGCAGCCCCATTGGTGGCAGGGAGGCCCTGCCAGTCACTGGGGCACGACCCACATTCTGGGCTGGCAGGGGTCGGACGTCTGGGGGCGCGGCTCTGATATTCGGGATGTAGGAGCCGTACTTTGGGTCAGCCGGGTGCCCTGGGCAGCTGGCCTGTCCTGGGTTCCTCACACCCTAGGGGACCTGGCAGACGCCCTATACCTGGGGTCTCTCTCCGGCAACCGCCGCTTGGGTTCCGAGCCTTGAAGTGGGTGGAGAGCTCCACCGGTCACAGTAAAGGCCAGGGGTACGCATTGCCGGGCACATGGCCTCTGATGTCCCCAGCTGCGTTTCTCAGTCTCAGCGGGGAAGCTCGAAGCCCACAGTCCAGACAGACCACCAGGGTGTGAAAGGAGAGGTGGGGGGGACAGGGCCACACCCTGCCATGGCCCTGGCTCTGGGGGCCACGCTCCCTGTCTGCCCAGAGCACACGGAGGGTAACGGTGCGTGACAGACACCGTGTGTCATCCTGCAGCATCTCTTCTGGAGAGCAGTGTGGTGATCTCGATCTCGCCTTCAGGGAGAGCTGCTCTTTGTGGCGTGCTCAGCGTGGAGGGTCACTCCAGGGCCATCTGCGCTTCACTGGCTCTGCCGGCAAAGCCACACGGTGTCCCCGTCACTTGCAATTACACATTTCCTGAGGAGCGGGTGGACAGATGGCTCCCCAGGCCTCCATGTCCTGCCGCTCGCCTCTGCTTTCAGGGAGCAGTGGGGGGCCAGGGATGCTCAGAGCTCAGCTAGCCGTGACTCTAGAATCTAGGTCAAAGGGGACACTATGGGGCTCACGGGGGGACAGGCGAGGGCAGGGTGGGAACCACACCTGGGAAGCAGGGTCCTTGGCACTTTCTCTTCAGCTGTCACGTCCCAGCCAGCCCAGGTGGAAGGCACCTTCCGGTTTGTTCTCGGGCAGGAGTCACCACGGCGGCAGAGCCTCTCACGCAGCCCCACCGTGTGTCATCAGTCACGGTCCCTGCACTTAGGTCCTGTAAAGCACGTCAAAACCGCTGTCCGCCACAGTCACACAGACAGTGTGGCCTGCTGAGGGTCAGTGAGGACGCTGGCAGTCCCGCTGTCTCCGTGTTGCCACGGGCTTGTTCCCCTGCTGTCCCTCCTTCCTGCCCTCCGCAGGGACCATGACAGTCCCTGGCAGACAGCAGTGCTCAGTCAGCAAATGTCCTCATCCCGTGCCGGGGCTGTGACGCTTGGGGTCCTGGTGTGGGGAGTGCCTCTGTATGAACGTCCACACCTGTCCTGTCCGAGTTTGTTGGCACCTGTTGCTGTCCTCCTCGTCTGTCCCCCACCTCTGCCTGCACGCCGTCTCTCCCCACTGCATGTGACTAAGCCCTTTGAGGGGCGCGGGGACATCTGACTCTACAAAAACGCCATAGACACGCGAGCCACTGTGTGCCCGCTTCACCCTGCAGTGGCTCCAGGGAGCGGTGGGGGAGCCTGGCCTCAGTCCTCTCTGTCCCCTCTCCCCAGAAGCTGCCACAGCATGACCAGCCTGGTCAGTAACCCCGTGTCGCCCATGAAGGACGGGACCCCTTCTCTCCCCAGGAGGCAGAGCTCGCTGGCCAGGCCCCCGCTCCGCGCCCTGTACGACCTGCTCATCGCGCCCATGGAAGGGGTAAGTGGCTCCCGGGACGGCGTCCCCCCGTGGCCACCTGTGTCCCTCTCACACACACAGGTGGCCGTGGAGACACAAAGAAGCTGCATCTTCTTCCCCGTGTCTCCATCGGCCCTGGACACGTGTTCTTGATTTGGTGGCCGAGGCCCCAAGTTTCAAGTTGGCAGGTTCAAGTCCTAGCTCTGCTACACACAGGCCAGTGCGTCACCCCAAAGGCCGGGGCCTGGACAGGTACACGGGCCAGCAGGGAAGCCCCACTCCCACCTCCATTCTAGAATCTGCCCGAATGATCTCAGGCAGAGTCGTGCTTGCTGGAGAGAGTGGGATTGTCTCTCCCTGGGCCTCACTGACCCCCACCACAGAGTACAGCGGTGCCTGGCTGGTGTCCTGTGGCCAGTGTTCCCCTGCCCCAGGCTCTACAGCCACTTTTTTTTTCCTTTGTGCCTTTTTTGTCCCCCCAATTTTTTGTTATTTTATCATTTTTATGTTTACTGACATGAGAATACATTGTTTGGGCCACCTCCCCCCATTTCCATCCTCCCCCCAGACCCCTGTGGCCACTTCTTAACTCATGACTCTTGGACGGGGTGGGGACCTTTGTGACCCGAGTGGTAAACCCTTCAGATGCCCTCGTGTGCAACTCTCGGGAGAACCAGAGCCCGGCAGACCTGTCACCGAGGCAGGGGCCCTCGGCGCCTCCCTCCTTCTCCAGCCATTGACCAGCGGAGGCCAGGCCTGGGGCATCTGGCCAGCTCAAACATGGCCTTTGCTCTGAAGCCATTGACCTCTTCTCCCACCCGCCTCGGGCCGTGCGACCTTCCCGCCCTGGCTCTTCACACCAGGCCATCATTCAGGGCACCTGACCTCTGCCTGGGCTCAGAGCCCAGCTCTTCCTTCACCCTGTGTCTCCCGGAAGGCAAGGCCCATCCTCAGCTCTGGGTCCCCAACAGCTGCCTCGGGGCCTGGTGGAGTCAGCACTTGGGGACGTTTGTGGAACGGTACCTGGCCCCAAACTGCATTTGGCACAGAAGGCTTTGGCCACCATGGTGGTGAACCCCAAGTCTTCCCAGATTAGAAGCAAAGGGAGGGGCTCCCTGCCCAGCTGTGCTCTCCAGGGTCCCAGCCTAGTGCACTTGCTATGGGGACCACAGCTGGGCATTGACCACAGCCTCCACTTGGAGCCAGGTGTCAGTGGATCTCTGAGGGGAACCAGAAAAGGAAGCCGAGGTGCTCGGATCCCACCCAGGAGAGAAGCCACCGTGAGCGAGGACATGGAAGGACACAGTGGGTTTCAGGGTCTTCCTCCCCGAGGACTTGTCCACCAACATGTGGACAGGTTGGTGACAGTCAGATGTCCCTCCAGAGGTGGAAGGATGGGCAAATTCATGGGCTTCAGTGGTTTAGAACCGTGCGTCACCATCGTAACGGGAGCTAGGCGAGGGGCTGGCTTTCTGGAGGAAGGTGGCGGGCGGTGGCCCTTGTCCCTGGCTCTTGACAGCTGGAAGCATTCTTTGTTGGGAACCAGATGTGTAAGTGATGAAGGATTTGACTGCTTCAAATAAGGTGAAGAGCGGAAACTTGTTAGTCACCAGCAGGAGCACGAGCTGACCTTTGGCTGACTAAGGTCACCATTGTAGCCGGGCACAGGCCTGTGAGCCCAGCACCCGCCACGGAGGCAGGAGGGTGGCTTGAATCCAGGAGTTCCCAGCAATGTAGCGAGACCCCATCGCACAGTAAATAGATAAATAGATTCACAGGAAAATGAACCGGTCCGTCGCGCTTCTGAGAAATTGGAACAGTGGGGTCCCCTGCCCCCACGTCAGCGATTCCGCCGACAGCGTTTGTTCACACGTCCCAGGCACCCAGTGTCATGAACCCGGAGCTGGGGCAGTTAGCCCGGAGGTGTGCAGGCCAGCCCGGGTGACTGTCACCACCAGGGTCCCCTCTCCTCCTCTTAAGTCTCCTCCTGTGAGCACGCCACTGCCCCAGAGGCCACCAGAGGGCGACACGACACTACTGTCAACTGCCAGGCACCGCCATCTGCATGGTCACAGAGCCTAGAAATCAGAATGGAACGTCCGTCCAGGACTGTGTCGGGAACACCCGGAGACTGGCACAACTGCCCTGTTCACCCGGGGCACAGAGTCTTCCAACAACGGCCCTCACCCGCGGTCCTGTGCCGGGGACAGGCGCACTGCACCACTGCAGGCTCGTGCAGCCTTTGACTTGAGGTGGCTCGAGGGGAGCACTGTCGCCAGCTCTTCCCCAGAGCCGTCCTTTGCTGTCAGGACGGGCAAGCGCGTCCTCCATCTCCGAGGACAGCCTGTTACATCTGCACGTGAGCCGTCACCAGCCGTTAAGTCAGATCCTGTCTGAAACCCGGGGGAAATGTCACCAAGGAAAGGCTGCAAGTGGTTCGTGTGAAAGGGACTGGGGCGTGTTTGTGTCCACAGCCTTAGTTTTCAGATCAAGTCGCAGTGAAGGACCGTGGCCTGCCCCTCTGACCTGCTCTTCCCCGCCATCCGTGAAAGGACAGATGGGACCCATCCTGTCCCCACAACCCGCATGTGGAGACCACAGGCTAGCAGAGGCCTTTTCCTGGCCTTGGAGTTGAGCCAGCCCCTCCAGCAGTGTGCAGGGGACAAGGCCACGGGTGCTCTGGGGACAGCTGCTCTCACCGCACCCCGCACCGCCCAGACTGCAGTGGACTGTGTCCCACGCCGTGCTCTGTGGCCACCAGGTCAACACGGAGAAGGGTTTGGTGGGGTCACTCAGAGGCCCAGGTTCTACTGGAGTTTGCATTTGCATCTCCACCGTCCTTACTTTATTTCCTGTTGTAAAACCTTACACTCCTCTGCCCCAGGACCGGGAGCAAGAGCCAGTGACGTGGGTCAGGAAGAGGAACCTTATAGCCTGATGTCCTGCAGCTCCTGGACACTGGCCTGTCACTCAAGAGTGTGGCAGGGGCCTGGCTCTGCCAAGGGTGGGCTGTGAGCAAGGCCTGCCCCTGGCCAGGTCGTAGCCATAATTGCTCGGGGGACCACCTTGTTCTGTAAGATGGCCCTGGTGAATTCAAGGGGCCTAAGGAACAGCTTGGCCCGGACAGTGCAGTGGGCACAGGCCAACCCCGTTCCCAGCAGACTGGGGACTCGAAGGTGGCCAGGGAGTTCTGTCCATGCAAACGGAGGCAAGGACCTGAGTGTGGAGTGGGGACCAAGACCCTTCCGCTGCCGATTCCCTTCTGATTAAGGCATCCGTGGTGGCATGCACCCAAGGACACAGATTCAAAGGAGGGGACCCACAAGCTGCCGTAGGACAGAAGGCCACATGAGCGCCCAGGACGCTGTGTGCGTTTCCCCAGGCGCTGACCCTCAGCCTTGCCAATGCCCACGGAGCACCAGCTCTTAAGCCAAAGCCAGGACACAGACGGCCCCCTGACTGACAGCAGAGCTTCGGGGGCAGCTCAGGCCCTCCGGACACCATGGCATCTCTAGAGCAGACGCCATGGAACAAAACAGCAGTGAGCCAGCACCCGGCACCCCACAGACAGTTGGGGGTCCATGGGACTTGCATGGGAGAACCGGACCTGGGCGTCTGGCTCAGCCAACTGTGTGTGGTGGTGATGCAGAAGTGTGTGACCACCATTTCTCCTGGCCCCTGCGCCGACACTGGGAGCTGTTTGTCACAGAGACCATGTACCTCTTTCACCCACGTGGATGTCTGCAGAGGCCAGTGGGAAGGGAACGGACTGGGAAATGGGGAGGCCAGGAGAAGGGCATGGTCCAAACGGCAGGGTGCCATTTTATCCCCTATGAACTCACACTGAACCCTTAGGCGCCACCACCACTGGGTGCCAGGCTCCCTGTACTGTCATAGCTCCCTGTGCCCGAAGGGAGGTGAGCATCTGCCGAGGGCTCAGAACCACCAGCCCCCCTGATCCAGGCCCAAGGCAAGGCCCCTCCGCATCCCCTTCTCCACCCAGAATGCAACTTCGCTTCCTGTCTGCTGGACATGGCTCCATCCTGCTGGTCACCACAAGCAGAAATGGCCCGACGGCGAGCAGGGCAAGAAGCAGGAAGCCATCACCCAGGAGCGAGAGGAGCTGCCGTGTCCCGGGGAACACGTGTGGCTCTCCAGGGCCGAGGAGTGGGCCCAAGGACGGATCTGGAGAGGGGTGCTCAGCCCACCCGACACAGTGACGTTTGCCGCTGGCTGGGTGGTACCGGTGTGAGCTGCCAGGGTAACAGCAGGCCACCTCCTCAGTGCCCGTCCAGCCCCTCCTGACAAAACTCAGCTCCCAGCGCCGTTGACTTGAGAAGTGCTGAAGGGAGGTGGTCCATCCCAGGGCAGACGCCAAGGAGCAACAGCCACAGGGAGCCACCAGGGTGCCCTCCACCGCCCTCAACAGGGACAGCCCTGGCCACCTCCCCGTGGTCACACAGGCAGCCTCGCAGCGCTGTGCATGGTGGCCTCCCCATGGACACAGGGTCACCCCCTTCCATCCTCACCCTGTGCACAGGAAGCACTCAGCATGTCTGACTCACACTTGACGGTCAGGCTGCTGTCCCTTGTCGACAGTGAAACTGTGCCCAAGGGAGCAGACAGAGCCTAGGACACTGGCCTCCTCGTCTTGTCCTTCTTGTAACTTTGGGGGTCACAAAGTCTGTCTTTGACGGGGCTGGTTGGATGGTCGGTTGGTTGATTGTCTGCAAATGCAACCCCGCCCACCTGGAGGCCACACCTGTGAGGATCCCTGTGGTCTGTGACACATGTGGCACGGGCCGAGGTCCCGTCCTCTCTTCCCTGCCAAGTCTGGGTCACAGCTGCCCCACAGCACAGGGCAGTGCTGATGTCCAGGGTGCTCAGAGCCGGCCCTCGCATACCGCCAACCACCTCCTCATGGCCCACACGCCGAGCACAGCTGTGGCACTGCCCCTCCCTCCCCGGGGCCAGGACGCAGGGCCGTACTGTGTGCCAGGCTTGGCACCATCCACCAGGCCCCGTGAAGAGGGTACGACATTCAGAGACATTGCCCGGACTCCCCAGCTGGGGTGCAGGTCTGCCCTTCTCACCTCTTGGGTCACTCGTCACCACATCCTGCCAGATCTTCCCGTCCCCATCCCCTGGCATGAATTGCCATTCTGAGTCACTGGGCTGTCCTTGTCTGTGACACAGGCTGCTTCCAAGGCCTCCTCCCCAGGACGTCCTCAGCACTGCCGGCTCAGAAAGCTGCCTGTGGCCACAGCCAGAGCCCTCCACGGCCTGGCCCCCATCTTACTTGACAGCCCACCTGCCCAGGATGGCCTGGAAGGGCGCAGGGTGGTGCCAGAGTTGGCATCTTATCGCCTGTGCGCTGCCACTCAGTGTCACCAGGCCACCAGCAATGGTTCCTCATGAACATAAGCCAGCCTGAATCCTAAGTCACCTGGCCTCCCACAGTGCACAGCGGGCACAGGCTGGGCACTGCTCAGTTGGCCAAGTGGAAAGCTGAGGACACTGGGGAGGGCGACTTCCAGCAGTGGGGCCCCACGGTGACTGCCGCTGGAGGAGGGCCAGAGGCAACGCACAACTGTCCTCCCCTCTGCGGCCTGACCAGGCCCACGCCCAGCCACGCGGGTTCCCGCCGGCTCCACCTGCCCCTCACCCAGTGCCCCTCGGTCACTTTGGCTGACACGTGTTGGAGCTGCTGTGACAGGGAACTTGACCATGGGCAGTGTCTGTCCGGGGCTATTAGTGGCCCGTGGATGACATGTGACTGGGCTTGGGCCTGGGTGGCAGTGCATCTTGTCACACAACTCAGGTGTAGATCCAAGCCCCACATCTCGGGCAGCGCACTTGTCACTGACAGGCAAGTGGTTGTCACTGTCACAGTGGCCGCCCCAGCACTGAGGTCAGGGCACCATCAGTTCTGCCACTGAGGCCCAGCTTCCATGGTCACCTTTGGGTCTGGCCTGGCTCAGGCGTGGGCCCGGTGCCTCCAGCTCTGTTCCCCTCCCTCTGTGAGCCACAGCTCGCCAGGACAGCCCCAAGGGAGCAGAGCCAGCCTCCTCTCCCGCCTGGACGGTGCAGCAATTTGCAAGAAATCAATTGGCCCAGTGATTGTAATTTCCACCTTCAGTGCAGCTAGAATTTTTTTTGGTACTGGGATTTGAACTCAGGGCCACTCCACCAGTCCTTCTTTGGTGACCGATATTTTTTAGGTAGGTTCTCCCGAACTATTTGCCCAGGCTGTCTTCGAGCCACCAGCCTGATCCTGATCTCTGCCTCCTGAGTAGCTGGGATTACAGGCGTGAGGCAGTGGCGCCCAGCTTAGAATTTTTTTTAAAAAGAGACAGCCGTGGGTTTGGTAGGGACATGTCACTGTCTTAGTGAGGGCTTCTGCCACCCTCAGCAAGTGCCCAGGGCAGCTGGGCCGGCCAGCACATTTTCTCCCCAGCAGCCTGTCAGCCCCACCTGGGCAGATGTGAGGGTCCAGATGCCACAGAACCAGCCACTGGCCCTGGCTGACACCCACAGTGACCTGATGGCCTGCTCTGCGGGCCGAGGCTGCTGCCTCTTCTTCCTGGGGTCACAGCCTCAGTCTCTGCTGGGGCCACTTTAGAAAGAGATGTGTCTGTAAAGAAGAATGAGTGGGTGTCTGTCTGTCTGTCTGTCTGCCATGGCTCTACATATTCCCCTTCCGAATCCTCCTGCTAGGCCTTTAGGGCCCAGCACGCTCCACCCCCTTGGGGGTGTCCCCCGCCTTGGTCACTATGTCAGTGTCATCCACTGACCCGGGTCTCGGGCTCCCACCCCAAGCTCCCTTTGCCTGTGGTCTGGCCTCTTGTAGAAACATCCAGATCTTCTGGTGTCCGCCCTTCCTTGTAGGTCACCCCCCTTCATGGCTGGTGGCACTCACCTCCACCGTGCCCCAGGCCACCTGCACAGAAACCGTCCTCTAACTTTCTCCCACCCTGCCAGGCGCACAGAAGCCCCAGGCCCCAGGGTGACTCCCTCGGGTGGCCGGGTCAGCCTGCGCGTTTGCTCCCCAGGGCCTGATGCACTCCAGCGGCCCCGTGGGCCGCCACCGGCAGCTGGTCCTGGTCCTGGAGGGGGAGCTCTACCTCATCCCCTTCGCCCTCCTGAAGGGCAGCGCCTCCAACGAGTACCTGTACGAGCGCTTCGCCCTCATCGCTGTGCCTGCCATCCGCTCGCTCGGCCCGCACTCCAAGGTAACGTGGGGCTCTTGCGGTGGCGTGGGCCCTGACACTCACCGGGCCTCTGTCGCCTTGGGCATCGGTGCAGTTCACGTGGGGTCACATGCCTCGCTTTTGAAGGCCTTCATTTTGGGTCAAACGAGTGAAGGAAGGATCTTTTGGGCGCCTCCCACGTCCTGCAGCGAGCCTGTCCCCGGGTGGCCTGCAGCAGTGCTGGGCACAGAGGCTGTGGCGGGTACAGCTGGGAGCTGGCAGAGGGGGAGGCCGTCTGCCGCCAGCCTGGGTGTCTCATGCCCACACTGTGGGTGCCACCAAGTGCAGGCACTGAGCACTGTTCCGAAATGCCACGACACACCCACCGTGTTCCCCAAAGTGGGGAGGCCAGGACCGCAGGGCCTCCCTGCACGCTGCTTTTGGGGTTCGGTGTTGTCATTCCCCATCCTGTCAGGTGGCAGGGAGGGACTGTTGCTTCAGCACGCAAAGCTCCTGAAGGACTTAACCTGGGGAGACGCAGCTTCTCAGCCCGACACTCGGGAGCGGGAGGAAGCTCACTCAGGGCCACACAGAGGGGTCTGGGCGAGCCAGAGGTGGCAGGCTGGCATTCATCCCACAATCCTAGCCTGTCCCACGGTGCCTCCTCCACAGGACTCTCAGGATGCCAAAAGATGCTGAAAGGTTGGGGTGTGCGAGGTTATTGGGGAAGCAGGTGCTGCCGTCTGATGGTGTTCTGCTCATGTCTCCGCCCCAGGGTCCCCAGAGGAAGACCCCACCCACGTACTCCAGCCCCACGTCCATGGCAGTTGTCATTGGCAATCCCAAGCTCCCATCAGCGGTGATGGACAGGTGGCTGTGGGGCCCGATGCCCTCGGCCGAGGAGGAGGCCTACATGGTGTCTGAGCTGCTGGGCTGCCAGCCGCTGGTGGGCAGCGTGGCGACCAAGGAGAGGGTCATGAGCGCCCTGACCCAGGCGGAGTGTGTCCATTTTGCCACCCACATCTCCTGGAAGCTGTCGGCCTTGGTCCTCACGCCCAGTGTGGAGGGCAACCCAGGGGGCAGCAAGAGCTCGTTTGGCCACCCCTACACGATCCCCGAGTCCCTGCGGGTGCAGGACGACGCCAGCGATGGGGACAGCATTTCGGACTGTCCGCCCCTGCAGGAGCTGCTGCTCACGGCCGCCGACCTCCTGGACCTCAGGCTGCCGGTGAAGGTGGTGGTGCTCAGCTCCTCCCAGGAGGCCAACAGCCGGGTCACCGCCGACGGGGTGGTGGCGCTGACACGGGCCTTCCTGGCTGCTGGCGTGCAGTGCGTCCTTGTGGCTCTGTGGCCAGTGCCGGTGGCCGCTTCCAAGATGTTCCTCCAAACCTTCTACTCGTCCCTGCTGAACGGCCTGAAGGCCAGCGCCGCCCTGGGCGAGGCCATGAAAGCAGTGCAGAGCAGCAAGGCGTTTTCGCACCCTTCCAACTGGGCAGGTAGGACAGCCGGTGACGGTCCCCGGGCCACCCTCCCTGGCCGCACTCCATCCTGCAGCTGGGGAGGGAGGGAGGCCAGCACAGGAGAGGCAGGGAGACGCCCTGGGCACTGAGGATCACCTCTTGGACCAGAGAGCTGCTGAAATTGGCCACCAGCGGGTGAACGCAGAACTGGTGTCAGCGTGCACTGGGTGACCCCTTCCATGGAGCCTCGATTAAAACCCCTTGCAGGAGAAAAGCCCCACGAGTGGCCACTGGCAGCCCCAGGGCGGAGCTGGGTCATGTCCTGGCTGTGCTGTGTGACCCAAGACAGGTTCCTTCCCCTCTCTGAAGCCCAGTGTCCTCTGTGGGAAGAGCGAGAGCCAGTCCAGCAGGCAGGTGTCCTGCCTACTCTGGTGGCCCTCGCCTTTGTCCCTTGGCCATGTTGCCTTCAGCAGAGGCAGGAGTCGGCGTGACTGTGGTTCCCACACTGTCCTCACCACTGGGCCCCAACTGTCACCCACACTCCTGACAGCCTGCAGACCACTGGAGCCTGGCCCCCTGCCTGGCCTCCATTCCTGAGGGGCTCCCCACCTCTGGGCAGGCCTCCCTGTGGGCAGAATGGGGCTTAGACAGATGGATAGCAGGGAAGTCACAGCTTTGTTCTGGGGTAATGACTTTTAAGGATGTCCCAGGAGGAGCGCTGGGGAAGGAGGCGGGGCACAACAGAGACAGGGACACCGTGTGCATGGTGCTCCTTGTACGTCAGCTGTCTGCTCCCTTTTAGGGCTGCAGGAACCTCTTGCCTCCCTCGGGCTGTTGGTCCTTGTGTGTTCCCTCCCGCAAGGCCTCAGGACAGACGTGGAGGAATGCAGGGCGGAGGATCGGCCGGGGGTTTGGGGACGGGCCCGTGGGGTCTCCAGATGCCCGCTGGGGTGTCCTCCATGACGTGCCATCCCTCCCCAGGCTTCATGCTCATTGGGAGCGACGTGAAGCTTAACAGTCCCTCGTCACTCATCAGCCAGGCGCTCACGGAGATCCTGCAGCACCCGGAGCGCGCGCGGGACGCCCTGCGTGTACTGCTGCACCTGGTGAGGCCATGCGTCCGAGACCCGTGGGAGCCGTGGGGACGGGGAGAGGCGAGCGGTGGGCGCTGTGCCCACCCCAGTGTCTGCGATGGCTTTGGGCGAGTCACTTGGTGAGATAGGCGACTGACACTTCCAGGTCACAGGGCCCGCGGCTGCCAGGTGTCACTTCACAGCCAGATGCGGGAGGTCCGCCCCCAACTTGGGTTGGGGAAGAGTCTGGTCTTGGCCTTGGCCCCCCAACATCTTTAGGGCCTGGCAAGAGGCCCATCACACACTGGAATGTTACCAGTCAAGAATGTTGGCATAAACCCTGTCCCCTCCTTCCCCTCGGGTGACAGCCTGGAAAGCACTTCCGAGCCTTTCGACTTGTGGCCACCACGGGGCCGAGTGCCAGGGAGACCAGCCCTGGCCTTTCCCAGAGCCACGTGTGTGGGGGGCACAGGCTCTCCCCACACCTGAGGCACACAGGTGACCACCCCACTGTTACCTCGCAGGCCAGAAGTGGCAGCAGCCTGGCTCGTTCCAGGCTCAAGAGGGGAGGGTCCTGGGCCAGGCCTGGGAGGAGTGGGCTGGGATCCAGGTGGAGCAGTCCCCTGGGGAGGTGTGACAGGGCTCTGGGCCCGAGCGTGGCAGCTCTCCATGCCCTTTCATGACAGGAGTTGTGGCCATTCCTGAAGCCTGGGTCCCTGGAGGGGTTTCCCCAGGCCAGGTGGCGATGGCGTGAGCACACCGCCACCCCACCCGCTAGGCTGCCTCCTCCAGCATTCAGCAGCACCACCGTCATCCTCGAGGCCCTCACCCCATTGCCAGGTCCTCCTTCTTGGCTTCACCTCCTAGGGCAGGTGTCAGGGCCACCAGTCAGTGTCAGTGTCCCCCAGGCCCTACCTTCTAACCAGGCCTGGTGCTCCTTGGCCCCAGGGGCCCCCGGGACAGCCGGTTCCATCACTCCTGCCCGGAGTGCTGGCTTCTCCTGGCTGCACACTTCCTCTTGCTGGAGCTTGACACCCAGCATCTCAGCGCTGTGCTCAGGTGACATCTGGGAAGATTTGTGTGCCTTCCTCAGGGCCTGTGGTGTCCCAGTTTCTCCCTCGTGGGAGAGAGGCCTGCAGGGCAGCAGGGATGGGGGGTGTGTGTCATTCCTGCCTGAAGCTCCCAAGTGCCGGCTTCGTGGACGCTGGAGGACAGGCGGGGAGCCTCAGTGGAGAGAGGGGGAGGTTGGGACAGGGCCAGCGCACAGGTGCTGGGGCAGCAGGAAGGGCACTACCAGCCGAAGCCTGGGGCAGGCGAGCACTGGTGGGGGGCCGTAGAGCGCTGGGGGGGGGGGCAGCAAGTTGCCGTAGTGTCTGCTGTGGGGAAGGGGAAACGGGTCAGGGCCCCCGGGGTCACCGTGTGACTCCCTGCAGGTGGAGAAGTCCCTGCAGCGCATCCAGAACGGGCAGCGCAACGCCATGTACACGTCCCAGCAGAGTGTCGAGAACAAAGTGGGCGGTGTCCCCGGCTGGCAGGCCCTCCTCACCGCCGTGGGCTTCCGGCTGGACCCGCCGGCCAGCGGCCTGCCTGCGGCTGTCTTCTTCCCGACCTCTGACCCCGGCGAGCGGCTCCAGCAGTGCAGTACCACTCTTCAGGCGTTGCTGGGTGAGCAGGCCCTGTGGGCCGTGGGTGGCAGGGGGACGGGACAGAGTGGGGGACAAGCCACATCCTCGCAGGATCAGAGCTGTGACCCGGGTCTCAGCTGGCTTCTGCCACAGATCCGGCAGACATTTTATCCCATCTTCCCGTGGGTGATGGCGAGGTAACCACGTGAGCAGGTGCCACCTGCTCTGCACCTTCCCCGGCGACGTGAGGCAGCGCTGGGCCCCCACCAGCTGCAGTGCGCGTTGTCATCGGCAGCTGTGCTTCTGACAAAGCCACACGGCCCACCAGAGCAACGCGCCGCACGTGCCCAGGCTGCCCTCAGTGCTCGCCTCAGGGTGACACCACGTGAGCACTGCGGGGCATCCTGGGGTGAGGCCAGGCAGGAGTGTGACACAGGGCCAGGCCCTCAAGCCCCTGTCCCCCACCGTCCTCTCAGAGCACACGTTCCAGTGCCAAGGCACACGGCGCCCTGTACCCTGGAGGGAGCAGGACCGTGGGGCCGAGGCTCCTCCAAGTAACCCTGCCCCGCCGTCCTGCCCAGGTCTGCCCACCCCGGCCCTCCACGCGCTGTGCAAGCTCATCACGGCCTCAGAGACAGGCGAGCAGCTCATCAGCCGGGTAAGCGGGCCGGACACAGAGCCCAGGCAGCAGGCCGTGTCTGCAATGTGACTTGACCCTAGAGGGGACCCGTCAGCACTGTGGGCTCCTCACCATCCCAGGGGAAAACGGGGCTGGGAGTTAGCCACCCGCAGGGCTTAGGCTGGACCTGATGGCCGTTCCTGCGGCATCCTTCCGACATCGACATCGAGCCCCGACCCACCAGCAGGAGGCCCCCCGAGGCCACACGCAGCGCCACTGCTGTCCCTGCATCTCCCGAACAGTGCCGTCCTGCACCGTGTCCCACCCCAGCCTTCTCAGCTGACTGACCCCTATCCCACCCCCCAACCCCCAACCATGGCTCCAGGAGCTCCAGTCCACCCTGACGGGGCAGCCAGGGCATAGCAGTGAGCGCGAGGTCACCTCTGCCTTCTCTAGGAGACGTGGACCCAGCCCAGGGATGGGGGGATCCAGTTCTTAGTAACGTTCAGGCCTGCCCAGGTTGGTTCTGAGCTCGTCTGTACCTGGACCTTCCTGCTGGCGTTGGCGCGGGTGTGGGAGAGCTTCTGCATGGTGTCCCAGCCCGTCAAGGGCACAGGACAGTTTCTCCTGGTCACCTGGAGGTAACAGAAGAGTACGCGTGGTTATGTGGGGCAGCTGTCAGCACTGTCACTGTGGGGTGGTGAAGCAGCTCCTGGGACTGACCCCAGTGTGGCATTCTCCATGGCACCTGGGGCTGCCTGTCACCTGCCCTGGGCTTGTGGCCAGGCAGGATTGAGAACCCAGGACCTCCCTTGACCTCCCCTCGTGTACCGAGCGCGTTCTGGGAGACACTGAGAGCACTGCATGCTGACACACCCAGCACCCAGAGGCCTGTGCCGCAGAGAGAGCTAGAATCACACGCCTACACCCACAGGGCGAGGCCCAGACTCTGGCAATGCCCGCTCTTCGAGATTCTTGCTGTGGCCCCGGGAGGCAGGGCTGGCTGGTCAGGCTTCCCGCCCGAGCCCCAGGCCAGCTGGCCTGCCGTAGCTGTGCCTCTCCTGTGTGTCCCCTGCGCCTGTCACTCCTCTACCTGGTCAGAGCCGGCAGTGATCTGCTCGTGTGCGTAACGGCTGTGCTTGAGTCTAAACTTTCTTCTCTCTCTCTCTCTCTCTCTCTCTCTCTCTTTCTCTCTCTTTCTCTTGTTATCTGCTGGCGAAGGCTGTTAAAAGTATGGTGGCAATGGTAAGTACAACGTTAAGTAGCGACTGTCGTCAGGTGAGCCCCTCCGCCCGCCCGCCCGCCCCAGGGCCCCTCGTGGCTCTGAGCTCACTGTGCACACGCTGTCACGAAGCCCCAGCCGGGGTCCTGTGTCGCTAGCCCAGGGGGCCTGTCCCCTACTCTGCTCTGGCTCCCCCTTTCCTGTCCACCCTTCTGTGTCCCCGGTTTGCCCTTTCACGTTCCACGAGAACAGCAGGGGCAGGGCGACCTTAGGTGAGACACACTGAACCCTCAGGAAAGGAGAGCGTAGGTCCGCGCCACGAGGCCACCTGAGCGTCACGTGGGCTCTTCCCCCAGTGCTGGGCTCCGGGCATTCAGTTTCTCTACCACGCTCCTCACCGTCCAAAAGGCCACAAAGGTAGCCAAATTCATAAGGTCAAAAGAAGGGAGGTGACCGTCCCCTGACTCCCCAGGGCCTCCTCTGTGCTGGGAAGTCATGAGGCTGGGAGCAGAGCTCAGGCCTCCCCGCAGAGGACAGCAGGGCAGGAGGTGTGGGGCACTTTCAAAAGAGTGTCAGAGGCTGCACAGATGAGACGAGAGGGTCATCAGTAGCGCTGGCAGTGACAGGTGACGTGAGGCCAAGGCAGGGCTGGTCTGGAGGTGGGCAGGGGGAAGGGGAACGGCAGCCGGGAGCTCACGTCTGTCCCCTTCCTCAGCTGCACCAGGTGCTGGTCCAGCTCCAGGCCGGCGAGAAGGAGCAGGACCTCGCGTCGGCTCCCATCCAGGTCTCCATCTGCGTCCAGCTGTGGCGGCTCCCGGGATGTCACGAGTTCTTGGCGGCTCTCGGTAGGACGAAGCGCCCTGGCCTTGGGGTTCTCGATTCCACGTTTCCTTCCCGTCTGCTGCTCCTCCTGGCTTCTGTTGGGTGAAGCTGGTAGACTCGAGGGTCTTAGCTCGTGTTTCCATAGATATTTGATTACGTGAGAACAGTAAGTCACAGAGTCTGGGGCACTAGGGACGCCCCTCCCCCAGCTCCGCCCATCGCCACATCCTGATGTCACCTCTCACCTCTCCTTGTCACCTCACTAGCAATCTGCTAGACCCCGGGTCACTGGAGGTGCAGCCGTGATGGAGAGCCAAAGGAAGCTTAAAAACACAGTTATAAACACATGGTTCCATTGTTGGGAACCAGCAGAGCTGTGGACACTACCTCTGTGTGACCAGGTCCTTTCCAGTCCAGGATGCTCGCACTGTCCCCACTCCACCTGTAATACGGCTGACCGGCTGGACATGGCTGCTGCGCTCCAGATGCACGCATTGTAAACACCACGGGAGGTCTGGGCCCCTCTCCTGCCCTCGGTGCCTGGTGACACACCAGGGAGCCATTGTCACACGGCTGCCTTCTGAACCCTGGGCGACGTCCTGACAAAAACTGGAAAGGCAGGTGCCACTGTCCACAGTCACCTGAGCAGCATCTGAGGCCTGAGCTGAAGGAGAACCGCAGCAGACAACCATCAGCCGGGACTGCTGGAGGGAGGGCTGGAGCCCAGGCAGCCTCGGGGGCTAGGGCTGTTGGCAGGAGGAAAGACCCAGGCCAAGGGGACAGCCATGGCTTGGTCCAGGTTCAGATGGGCTGGGAGGCTGGGGGCCTTGACCTGAGAGATGGGGACAGCCTTTGGAAGATGACAATCTGGCTCTCGTCTCAGGGACACAAGTAGACACCATGGGCATGTGAGGCCTGGGGGTTCAGCCCTGGGTGCCTTTCCTGTAGCCCCCCTGATCTAGAGCAGCTCCATCTGTTTTCAGACATCGGTTCTTTCCTGTGACTTTACAGCGTGGCCTAGCAAGTGGGCACAAGCGTGGGGAAGGCCGTCCCACATCCCATGGGATCCAGCCACCCCACGCAGGTGTAGGCGGTCTCAGGGTGACGGCAGCAAGAGCCCAGGAGTGTCTTTGTCACACCCCACAGCTGGGGGCCCCTTTTGCAGCTCTGTCCTGGGGAGCAGTGCAGAAGGAAAGCACAGTCCTAGCACTGGCCTGGGGTCAGTGATTCTTCGCCCAGGAGAGCGACAGTCAGGAGGAGAGCAAGGCACGGCTGACACCTGAGAAGCAGCCCTGGCGTCACCAAGCAGGGCTGAGGGCCAGGGCTGTGTCCTGCCATGGACCTGACGTTCACACACGCGCTCGCTCGTTTTGAAATGCTGGACTCTGAGACCTTCCTCTTGCTTTTGCGGACGGTTTATCTTCCGCTTCGGAGGGGAAAACACCCCACAGCAACCAGGATGCCCCAGGCTGTAGCGGACACCATTCCACATGGAATGACGGTGTCAGGCCAGGGCCAGCGTCCTCGGTCAGTCACAAAGGAAAGCGAGGCTCCCTCGCGCGGTTTTGGGCCACAGCAGCTGGCTGGCTTCTGCCTGGGGAGAGGTCCTTGCTGCCTGTCCTTGCTGTGATCTTTTTTTTCTTTTTTAGAGACAGGGTCTCGCTGTGTGGCCCAGGCTGGCCCCAAACTCTTGGGCTCAAACAACCTTCCTGCCTCAGCCCCCCAAGTGCTGGGACGACAGGTGCAGCCACCGTAGCCAGCTGTAATCTCTCTTCAAGTGTCTCCCGGACACTTTAGCCAACCTCTTCCGCTCTGGAAGCTTCGTGCTGTCCTGCCGCTCCCCCCGAGTCTCAGCAGAGCCGTTAGAATTGGGGAGCAGCAGCAGCCTTGGGCTTTGGCTGAGGCCGACTGAGGTCCCTGTAGGTAGGCCATCGCAGTGGTCCATCGGAGCCCTCGGCAGCAGAGATGGGGATGCCCTTGAACCTGGGGACCCCCACCTTCCCAGGGCCTGCGTGAAGTACTGGCCCCGCTGTCCTGGGGAGCGTGAGTAGGTGGCTCTTCTGTGACACCCAGGAAAAGCTGAACGAGAATGAGGCAGTCGTGTTCCAGCCTCGGCCCCAGAGCCTGGGTTAGGGCAGGAAAGAGGAGGGGCAGCCTGACCCCTGCCCATGCTCCTGACCACACGGACGCACCCAGACCCGGTAGCCGCCCTGAGGCCCTGTGGCGTACCCCGTGTTCCCTTGAGGTTGTACAAGGAGCCCTATGGCCCTGCCGTGTTCTCATGGAACCTTCCCTGAGGCCACAGACATTTCCCTTCTGTGTCTCCAGGTTTTGATCTCTGCGAAGTCGGCCAGGAGGAAGTGATCCTGAAAACCGGAAAGCAAGCCAACCGGCGGATTGTGCACTTTGCCCTGCAGTCCCTGCTGGCACTCTTTGGTAAGAGCCCCTCCTGGCTGCCAGGCTTGGGGTGACATTGGGGACAGGGCGGAAAAGCAAGCAGCCATTTCTTGTGTGTGTCAGACATTGCTCAGGGCAGTAAGCAGCTTGCTGTGTTTCAGGGACCTTTCAGTCCGCGGGGTGGACAGTGACAACACACAGAGCTTGCCTCCAGGGCAGCGGGCGTACGGAACAAGGGGCCAGTACAGTGACCACAGCCTGGGAGGAGGCTCCCAGAGCAGGGGGGCCAGGCTGTCAGAGGGCCAAGCAGGCTGCAGTGGAAGAGCCGATGCCACTGTGACGGTGGCCGTGGTTTGGGGACATTTGAACCAATGGGATCTGCACCCCGACAGGAAGAGTCCATGGGAACACCCTGGTTTTTCGAACAGCTGCCAGATGGACGGCTTCCCCTTGCTGAGGTCGGGAGAGTGGGAGGAGGGTTGGGTCGATCCGTCTCGGTCACATTCAGTTTGGAAGTGTCCGCTAGACACCCGTGCAGGCGCCGGCTGGGAGGCCGGAGGCCAGTGACAGCGTGAGGGACAGCATCCAGAGCAAGGGGGCACACTGGTCCACAGCAGGGAAAGAGGTCAACCTGGGGTGGTCACTTCGATGCAGAGAACTGGAAGGAGAGGTCGGTGACAGCAGGCATGTCCACTGCAGAGCTGGCAGAGGACCCTGGGTCTGGTGTGTGGACCTCACCAGTGACTTCCAGGAGAACCGTGGGGGACAAAGACCGAGGGGTCTGCAGGGCTGGGAGGCGCGGCTCCTGAGTGGGTTGGTGAACAGTGGGGGACACAGGTGTCACAGGCTGGCCCCATGCAGCAGGAGGCAGCGTCTGTGTGACTCTGGAGCTTCTGCGTCCGTCAGGGTGTCAGCCGCTAACTGCTCTCTGGGCCGTGTTCTGTGCTTAGATTCCACAGAGCTCCCGAAGCGGCTCAGCCTGGACAGCTCGTCCTCCCTGGAGTCGCTGGCGTCCTCACAGTCCGTGTCCAACGCTCTGCCCCTGGGCTACCAGCAGCCCCCGTTCTCCCCGACTGGGGCCGACAGCATCGCCTCCGACGCAATCTCCGTCTACAGCCTGAGCTCCATCGCCTCTTCCATGAGCTTCGTCTCCAAGCCCGAGGGGGGGTCCGAGGGCGGGGGCCCCCGAGGACGGCAGGACTGTGACAGGCCCAAGAACGCCTACCCGCAGCGAGCCACCCTGCCACGCCGCCAGCTGTCCCCCCAGGCCCGGCCTGCGGGCGGCAAGGAGGAGGAGGAGTACGAGGGCTTCTCCATCATCAGCACGGAGCCCCTGGTGACCTACCCCGACGACAGGAAGGCCCGCTTCTCCCCTGACCACAAGCAGCCCCAAGTCGGGGCGCCGGGAGGCGCGAGGGCCTCCGTCAGCTCCAAGGGGAGCGTCAGCACCCCCAACTCCCCAGTGAAGATGACTCTGATCCCCAGCCCCAACTCGCCCTTCCAGAAGGTAGGCAAACTGGCCAGCTCAGACACGGGTGAGTCCGACCAGTCCAGCACCGAGACCGACAGCACCGTGAAGTCCCAAGAGGAGAGCGCAGCCAAGCTGGATCCCCAGGAGCTGGCCCAGAGGATCCTGGAAGAGACACAGAGTCACCTTCTGGCGGTGGAGCGGCTGCAGAGGAGCGGTGGCCCTGCGGCCAAGGGCCCTGACCGTGAGGACGCTGGGGCGCTGCCCAGCAGCCCGGCTGTCTTCCAAGCGTCAGAAACCAGCGCCTTCAGCAGGCCTGTCCTCTCTCACCAGAAAAGCCAGTCCTCCCCGGTCACTGGCAAACCAAAGCCCCCCGCCAGGAGCTCGTCCATCCCCAAGGTGAGCTCCGGCTACAGCAGCCCTGTCCCCTCGGAGGCCTCAGGCAAGGATGGCCCGAGCCCGGCCGGTGGCCATCCGTCCCCCGGATGCGATACCCAGGGCCCCCTGCCAGAGCCGCCGCTCTTCAGACTGAAGTACCCCAGCTCGCCCTACAGCGCTCACATCTCTAAGTCGCCCCGGAACGCATCCCCCAGCTCAGGCCACCAGTCCCCTGCGGGCAGCGTGCCGTCCCCGCACTGTCCTACTCGTCTGCCGGCTCTGCCCGCTCGAGTCCGGCCGACGCCCCCGACGGGGACAAGCTGAAACTGGCAGCCGTGGACGAGAAGGTGCAGGCCGTGCACAACCTGAAGATGTTCTGGCAGAGTGCTCCCCAGCACCCCACGAGAACATTCCGCGGGGGGCCGGGCACCATGACCTCCAAGAGAGATGTCCTCAGCCTGCTGAACCTGTCTCCTCGGCACAGCAAGAAGGAGGAGGGGACGGATAAGCTGGAGCTGAAGGAACTGTCTCTGCAGCCACAAAGCGAGGTGCCACCCAAGGTCCCCGCCAACGGGCACTGGCGCCCCGAGACCTCAGCGCTGCCACCGCCGGGCAGCCCTCCTGCCGCACTCCCCACACGCCCTCTGAGACTGCCCGCTGCCAATGGCTACAAGTTCCTGTCCCCAGGACGGTTCTTCCCGTCCTCCAAGTGCTAAAGTACCTTCGCCCGCCTGGGAGCGCACAGCACAGACGGGGTCCTGGCCCCCTGGAGCCCTCCCGGGTCTGGCGTGGCCTCTGCACAGCTGCCAAGCCCTCAGACTGGCGGGCTCCCTGAGCCAGGGGCACTGCCAAGCCACCGGCCACCGTGGGCTTCCTGAGTCACATCCACCACAAGCCAGGACTCCCAGGGGCCGGGGCCAGAGGCTCCTGGCATTTGTGCCCACCTCACCAGATGCTTACCTTTCAACTCCTGCTTCTCGTCTCTGGTGCGACTCTGCGACAGGCTTGTGCCCGCGCGCGCTCGGTCCCGGGTGGGGAGGGGACAGGAGCTCTGTGGTCCCTGTGCAGTGCAGGACCTTTACGTCCAAAAGTGCAGCAGAGCTCTCGGGGCTATCTGGTGCGGGCGGGAGTGGGTGTGTGACATCGCCAGGTTGGAGTCTCCACGACAGTGTCACCTTCGCCAAAACGCCAATGCTTCGTGACAGAGTCGGAGCAGCCTGGTCTCCTGCTGGAACTCCACGGCCGCCATGCAATAACTAACTCCCGTCAAAATGTGCTTCCGTCCCGGCCTCCCGGCCGCCCAACTTGACCTTAGAACTATGCAACCGTGATTCGAACGCAGCTCTGTGATTTTAAAGCATCGCTGGCCTTTTTTGTACCTGAACAAGCGACTTGGTTTATTACCAATAGTACCTTGCATTTATAGCTATTATTTTTTAAAGCTCAAAAAAGTTTTTTAAAGTGTCAAATTTTGAATACTCATCCAGAAGCAATTACCAAGTTTGGGGGGAGTGATTAAATTACTCAGTTTCCTTATTAAGAAAAAGAAAAAAATTTTTAAAAAGTCTCCCACGGCTAGCTAGACCGAAACACGAACTCGCCTTCTCCCAGCTGCTTTGCCAGCACCCCTCGGCCGAGCCAGCCCCGAAACCTCCTCGGTCTCCTTCACTGCCCGGTCGGTCCCCTGTCCCCTGTCCCTTGCCTCCCCCCGCCCCGAGAGCTGCCTCTCCCACCACGTCCTCAGCTACAAGGAAGTCAGTCTTCGCTGTGGACAAGATGGTGCCTTCCAACGGCTGGCATCTCACTTCCTAAGAGCTGTCACCAGCTGGGCTGAGGCCAGGGTCGTGCGTTGAGTTAGGGGTAACTGTTAACTTATTTTAATAAAGAAACGAAATGTTGAAATCACGTTAGGACTAAGTTTTGTTGGAGAGTTTAAGAAGTAACTTTCAGATCGCTCGAAAGTTCTCAGCTCCCTGTAGCAAGGACGCGTCACCTGAAGGCGCGTGGCCGCCAGGACACCAGCAGCGCCCGAGGGGACGTGAAGATGGGTGGGATCTCGCTCTGGGCACATACAGGCCACACACGGGCGTCACCTGGCCCTCAGATGTCCTCTGGTAGAAGGGATGTGCTGTGTATCGATGTTAGGTCCCCCTGGAGCTGCGTCACACGGCACGCCACACCCCGGCCCCGGCCCCAGCACCGGAAGAGAACGACTGCACAGGCGGCAGGGGTTGAGGCCGTCTTTGTGTCCCCAGGGGACCCGTGCTAATGGAGTACCCGTGTAGCAAATGAAGCCAAATCTCTAGCACTGTGCATTTAGGTGACAAAGTCAGGTCCCCGACCACAAAGAAGAAACCTCAGAGCAAGTGTCTAAGTCCAGGCAGAGATGGCTGGGCCACCTCCGTACCTGTTCCCAAGTGCCCCGGAGCCCCGAGCCACGGCCAGGCTGCACCGCTCCCTCGTTGGGCACGGCCCACCACTCGCAAAAACCCCTCCACCCCAGGGGGACGCGGGCGCCGACCTGGTTTACCCGAAAGTCCGCGCTTGGTTTACATTTCATCGTGAAGACTCAAATGGGACATGGGTTTTTTTTTTTTTTTTTTTTTTTTTGGTCCTAGACAGTAAGTTTGAAGGAAGGGAAAACGAAGTTGACAAAGTAATAGTGGCAAACTACCGGAGTCGTCACATTTACGTCTACTGTCAGTCTCGGTGTCCCTGTCAGGAGAAACGGATGTAAAACGGGGTTCTCAGGATCCCCTGGCAAAAGCGTGCGCTTCAAATCCAGCATCTCCCGGCCTAGGCCAGGCGCTGGTGACTGTCACCCAGAGGCTGCAGCTGGAAGGCTGTGTGGCCTTTCTGGCTATAAACTGACAGATCTTACCTTGCAGACGCTGTCACAAGCGTCTGTGCCACAGTTTTGACTTTGCCTCTTGGCTCGCGATGCCTTTGGGCCGAAACCTGGCCTTTTAAAAGCAAGTTTGTCCCCCAGTAGAGCAGAGGGGACACGCGGTGGGAAGCCGTTTTGTTTCTGCAGCCCAGGAGGGTCAGGCGACTGACTGGCTTCCAGGACCGGGTCCGCGGCCGTGGATGAAGACGAGCCACCAAATAAATAGCCCTTGGCCCCGTCCCACGGGGGAGGGCAGGGGACGGGAACACCTGCAGAGCTTTGTCCTTTCTCTTTTGCTTTCCCTCCGCAGATGGCGTCGGAGTTTTCTTTTTGGCTCAGGAACCGGGAGTGCCCCACGTCCTCTGTCAGATGCAGCAAAGTCTCAGACCCTCAGTCCTCACCTCTGAGGTGTCACCACGCCAAAGTCCCAAGAGCACATCAGCCGCTAGGCTGCCCTCGTCATCACTGTGCCCCTGCCGTCACCCGCCTTCTAGAACCCACACTCTACACACACGGGTGGCCGCCCCGCTCCCGTCTCCTGGGACCGTCCAGCGGGTGACCAGGCCGGGCCCCCGGGAAGTGGCAGCTGCTGGTCCGGGTTCACGCTGGGCACCTGGTGCGCAGTCATTGGTTAGGGAGGCGGCAAAAGTGACGCGTGTACCCATCTCACCCCGTGCTCTGTTCTACGGGAAGTGACTGTACCTGTGGTGGATGGGCCCCGACCATGCTGGGCCCTCCTGTCGTGAGCTGTCCCCGTCCCCGTCCCCGCCCCGCCTGGACGCCTCCCCACTTGACATGCTCGCTCCTTATGCAGTGACGGCCACCGCTGGCCTGCAGGACTTGTTTTTGTAAATCACATGATTTCCAGCTGGGTAAGTGTTTTTCTATGACAAAGTTTGCCATGTACAAAGAACTCCGTATTTTTATCGAGACTGCTGGGGCACTTGGCCTCTCCTTTGTCATTTCGGTGTCTTATTAAAGCATGAGTTCTGGTTTTACTCCCGTCTCTGAGTCTCTGTGCGGCCTGGCTTCCAGCTTTCTTCACGCCACGCGGGGTGGCCGTGCTCCTGGGCGAGCTCCTCACCTGCGACTGCGGCCCCAGGGTCGGTCTGCCCTCCTGTAATCACAGGTGGAAGGCAGAAATTTCTACAGCTGGTTAGGTGTTTAGACAGAGGCCGAGCGTTCCCAGCCACCTGATCCCAACATCTAAGGAGACTTCTAGGGAAGTATTCCAGAAAGGGCAATGTCGCCTAAATGTGACTACGTCAAGAAACAGACTGTGAGCTGCGGTGACTCACGCCTGTAATCCCAGCTACTCAGGAGGCAGAGATCAGGAGGATTATGGTTTGAGGCCGGCCCAGGGAAATAGTTCCCAAGACTCTATCTCAAGAAATACCCAACAGTAAACAGGGCTGGAGAAGTGGCTCGAGTTAGAGCGTCTGCCTGACAAGCATGAGGCCCTGAGTTCAAATCCCGGTGCCACCAAAAGAAACAAAAGGCCCGGGTGTGTGGCTCGCTCCGCAGAGCCCTTGCTAGCACACGGGAGGCCCCGGGTTTAACCCCGGTGCCGTAAAAACGAGCAAACAGGACGCTCGGCCCACAGGCTCCCCACCGCGAGTCCGGCTCTTCGAGTGGGATTTGTACACCACGTCCAGGCCGAGGTCAAGGCCCGAGTGGACTGAAATGTCCCCAACAGCCCACAAGCCACAGAGGACCCAGAACAGAAGTGAGGAGACGTGCTTTTGAAAATTCATGGGCGCCCTGTCACCCCAGCAGTTTCGGGGTTCCCTTTATTCCTGACGACAGACGCCTTTGTCATCTTTTCTGTCCAAGACGGGGAAAAACCTCGGGGCAGCGCTTACGAGCTCACGTTCACGCGGGAGAACACAGAGCTGTTTTCATTTCTGCTTCCCTATGATCAGAAAGTGGATCAACCGCATGTCCCAGAGGCCCTGAGCATCCAACCCAGGGTCAGGGTCGGGGTCGGGGTCGGGGTCAGGGTCAGGGCTCTTCTACCAAATAGGGTAGCATCCCACCCGCCTGGACAGCTCTCCTTCCTACCTGGAGGTCCAGATTACTACTTGTGACAGCTGCCGTGCTGTCCTGTTAGGGAACAGTGACACATTCTTTTCTACCCATATCAACACACACACACTTATATATATTCTTGTGGCACTGGAATTTGAACTCAGGGCCTCACACCTGCTAGGCAACCACTCTACCACTTGGGTTACGCCGCCAGCCCTTTTTGCTTTAATTATTTTTCAGATAGGAGCTCAAGTGTTCTGGGCCCAAAGCAGACTTGGATCACAATCCGCCGGCCTACACCTCTGGCCTAGGTGGGATACTGGCTTGTTTGTTGAGATGGGGTCTCGATAACTTTTTACCCGGGCTGGCTTCGAACCACCATCCTCCTGATCTCTGCCTCCCTGGTAGCTGGGATTACAGGCGTGAGCCACCAT